CTCAAGCTCCGCAATCGATCGATCGTAAAAGGAAGTCGATGATCTACACCGGCACCCTGCGGTTACGCGAGTCACAGTAGTTCACGCTGACAATTTGTGCGAAGATTTCCTCGTCGAACGGAACGAGGTCAATGTTGGCATCGAGTTATGGTGGCGTACTGACGACGAACTTCTGTTGTACCGAGACCGTAGTAGATAAATTTGACCTTCTCGAGCGCTGTCTCAGTGTAGATAAAAGCAGCCGGCGCGATATCGAATCGATACAAGACCTGTTTTTACGCTCCGCTCGATGCAAATTTTCACGAGCGAACGTTATTTACGACCTTTTTTCGGCGTCTTTACACTGAACTTGTCGAGCGGTAACGGTGGCTGACTCGTAAGAGTGCAAATATAGAAATCATTTCGACTTTTATTGACTTTTAATGATAAAACTTGCTTCAATAATGTAATTTATTCGATCATTTCCCACGAAGATGTCTCTAAGGTTTGTCGTATCGTTGAATTAAAAATCGATCATGTTGACCGTGCTAGGTTCGATGTTAATTAAGCTGATGTAAACGATAAAATGCATCTCGCATCCTTTCCAAGGTGCAAGCGTGCCGTGCTCACGTTTCATTTGGACCAGCTTTGACAAGTGGGCCGTTTATTTTGAAAGTGGAATAAGTCACATTACCGTAATGAAAAGTGGTGATTTTTTAATGTTTATACGAAATTATTTATACTGAGAAAAATATCAGTATCCCGAGATAACGAATACAAGTAAATCTTCTCGAAAGCTAGCATCCATATTTTTAAACGTGTTAAAACGCAAACCCTTAAATATATCGACTTAAAAACAAAAAGTGACTTACGCCACTTTCAAAATAAACGGCTCAAGTGTCGCGGTTTTTCATAGCGGATTTCAAACTCTTCACAGCCTTTTTCCGTGCCGTTTCTCAATTTAGGAGACGCTTCGACGTCGAGAAATTCCATAAGGAAGAGGCTAAATCACTAAATAACAACAATGCATGCGTCACACGTGATACTGAAGGTGTTATTTGTACTTCTCCGCTAGTATCTCATCTATGTTTCGATATCTTTTTTTCAGTTTCTGGAACGACCGTCAATTTTTTGTAGACTTATTTCCATCGCTTTCGGAGATGTCAGAGTTTGTTTAGCAGGTCATGCACGCGTTTCGTGCCGCGGTGTTATCAACAAGTTCATCACCAAATATTGGAAAATCGTGTTTCGTATATTGCTTTGCTGGCCATTCTCATATCGTGTTTCTAATTTGATTTACGTCGCGAGTTTCGAGCTTGGCGAGCAGCCGTGTTAAAATTAGTAACAGTGTCGTGGGACAGATTAAGATAATTAAAGAGCACTTATTCGAGCACTTGACGGATCGTTTGAATCAAGATATTTATTAGGTCTACCGGAAAGTTCTGTCCGTTTAAGAAATGAAAGGAAATAATAGATTCTTCATAAATTTAGTAATATTTAATATAATATAATTATATTATATTAAATATAATATGATATAATTATAATATATAATATATATAATAATATATAATATAATATAATATAATATAATATAATATAATATAATATAATATAATATAATATAATATAATATAATATAATATATAATATATAATATATAATATAATATAATTTCCGTCGTTACTTATAATCTCTTGCCAGCGTGATAGCAATTTGTGTGAGCAACATTTTTCAAAAATACATGTCTCAAATGAACATGTGCATACCTATCGAAATTTGCAATGACATTATCAGACAGAACTTTCCGGTAGACCCAATATATCAATACTATTTACTTGTAAATTTAGATTGACTTCCAATTAGAACATTAATATCATATAGAATAATAGAACTTATTCGCAGGGTTAATTTCAGCTTAGATTAATTATTTCTAGGTGTCAAAAATACAATTCGCATACGTACATATGCTATTTAACTGACGAATCGTGTCAAACAGCGAGTTCAAACTTTCCGCTTTCGGTTTCACCAATGAAATTACACTTACCATTGTCGTCGATATGTCGTTCACGTTCAACAAACTCATACAGTCAATACCTTGGTACAGCGATGTCTCCCTAACTGACGCTCAGATTGTGCACAAAAATGGGAAGAAGAGAGGAAGAAAATTTGGGAAGAGGAGATACGATTATTCGTGCCTTGCATCTCGTTTTCATAATTATTGACAATTCGTAATTATAAAACCAAACCGCAAGGCTCAAATAATCGTATCGCCTCTTCCGAAATCGTCCACTTTTGTGGACAATCCGAGCGTCAATTAGAGAGAGACATTACTGTATTCTCACCTCCGTAATCACCGCGTCGTAAGGTGGATCATTCGGCGGGTTCTTCGCAAGTTGCTGAATCCTAGGGTCGCCCAGTGCCTCGCAGATCTCGGTCCCAAAGAGAACAGCACTAGTATGGCTCGTGGATGCACGCTTCATCATATCGTGTATGTTATCGAATGTGAAGTTGTTGATTAAATGCGTGGTTGCCGGCAGAACGATGATATCGTTGTAATTCGGATAGGGTTTCTTCAACGGGAACGTGCTGACCACGTCCACCTGGTGTCCCTTCCTGGCGAGAGCCTTCATCAGTTGTTCGAACATCACGAAGTGACTCTTTCCGTTGTACGGGAACAATCCAAGGATCCTGTATCCATGGCAGGCGGACAGTATCGTCAAGAAACCGATCAGCGCGAACAGCTTCATCTTCGATTTTGTCACTTCACACTCTTTCCACTTAATTCAGCTGCCACTGTATAGCCTCGCCGACGACCCAGAAATCACCCAAAGTGTCTACCAAATTAGACTGATCGACTCGGATCGATGGCAGGCTATCGCTTACGCTGCGTAATCAACCGATCATGATAAAAGGAACTAAGAGACCGACGTGGCTTCGGGCGATTAGGCGAATCACGGCTAAATCACGCTGACGATGTGTGTACAGCGAGCACGTTTCCCGGTTCGACGGATAGGCGTCGATGTTGTATTCGAGCCGCACCAATGTACCGACGCCGAACCTATGACGTGCCCAATCGTCGGGCCTTTGTGGGAGCCTGATATGTTACAGGGTCAGGACCGGACCAAAATATGTCGGGCAGGATGGGACGGCATCCCGATACATTTCACTGCTCGAGATCTCGAGATCCCGAGTGTTTCGGGTCCCGAAAGTTTCGGGACTGCGCTCCGTTCTCGGATGGTCTCGGTCGGTCTCGGGCAGTCTCGGTCTCTACGCAGGCGTGGTATATATTTAGAGACTGCTCGAGACGGGCCGAGACCACCAGAGAACTGAGCTCAGTCCCAAAACCTTTGGGACCCGAAACACTCGGGATCTCGAGACCACGAGCAGTGAAATGTGCCCGGTCCCGCCCGACACTTTTCGACCCGTCCCGAACTTCGGATTCCCGAGACTCGGGCGGATTTGCATAATGTTACTAATCATAGATAAGTTCAATCTCCCGAAATACTGCTTTGGTTCAGATAGAAGCCGGCAGCATGAAAACGAATCGCTTTTCTGCTATCAACGATCCCAGTTCGCCGAGCGGTCGCCGATTAGGATTCTTGTCTTGGCGTCTTACTTCGGCTCGTTGGGGCGCCAGTATTCCGATTTCTGATTTATGAGGGTTGCTGGTGAGATAGTTAGGGCTGCGATAAGTGACTCGTTCGGCTCGGTTTCAACGACCGGATGAAGGTCTCCCGGGGCGCGTTCTCGTAGATTCATTGCGGTTACATTGCGACGCAAAGACAGTTTCGTGGATTTTAAATATTCTGACGAGCATGAAACGTGAACGTTGCTTTGGTGAGACCAAGAACGGTTGTAAGACATTGTCTTTAGAACACGATTACACAGAGAAACTATAACAGAGAAGATAGTTCTGTGGTTGTAGAGAAAAACGCAGCGAGTCGCAATTTCAAAAAATTGTAGTCGACGCATTCGTTGAATTGTAACATATAGAATTTACGCGTTTATCAGAAAATAATCATCGTGAAAACAAATTCTATAGGCTGAAAGGGATGATGCAATTTGAAACAACACTAATACGGAACAGAACTTAGAATTGATGAGCAGAACTTTAAGCGACAATATCTCGGAGTTTGAAGCACGTGACTTGCGGCCTTCCTCCGTTGCAGCTATAGAATTATTGTGCCAACCTGTTATCGACTTATCTCAGATTATTCAGTTAAAGTGCTTTTGCTATACATCGAGGAATATACAAGTTGTTAATAAAATATGTGAAGTGACCCCGGGTGGTTTGTAACACGGCATTCATTTTTGTTGTAAATGGATTGTATCGTAGTAGGATTTTTAGAATTCAATAGAGTTAGTCTACTATTTACTGTAGAACATTTTTACTTGCAATTCCGTTAAATAAATGACTTTGATATTGTAGGAATTTTGGAGGTCGATATTCGTATGTAGTTGTCCCGTTTCGGTTTCATTAATTAGTTCACTTTGATGTAGTGGGAATTTTTGTGAGTCGGTATTCGTAAATTTTAACTTTCCAGTTTCGGTGTCATTGAACGAGTTGGATATCGCGGGAATTTTTACAGTCGCTTTTCGTAAATCTGTTAATTTTAAAAAATTCTAGCTTTCATATCATTAATGAAATCAATTTGACACCGCAGGAACTTTTTTAACTTTTCAATTTTGGTGTCATTAAACGACTTGAATATCGAGAGGATGTTTCGATATTTTATATATTTCGTAACCGTAAATTTTTCAATTCTTTTCATTCATTTAGATAACTTTTACACTGCGGACATTTTGGGGTCGATATACGATAAATTTCAACTTCCTGATTTCGTATTCGTTGGTTAAGTAATGTTCACATTGCAGCAATTGTTCGCGTTGGTGTTCGCAAAGATTCAACTTTCAAAATAACTTTGACATAACATTCTAGTTTCGGTTTCATCAATAAAATTTCACCTGCCATTGTCGCCGATATTCATCGATAACGCGCGAAGTCAAAACCTCCTCACCTCCACAATCACCGCGTCGTAAGGTGGATCTTTCGGAGGGTTCTTCACAATTTCCTGAATCCTAGGGTGGCCCAATGTGTCGCAAACCTCGATCCCAGCGAAGATAGCAACAGCGTGGCTCGCAGATACGCTTAGCATGTCCTCCATGTCGCTGAATGTAACGTTGTTCATGAACTGCCTGAATGCCGGCAGAACGACCATATCGTTGTAATTCCGATAGGGTTTCTTCAACGGGAACGTGCTGACCACGTCCACCTGGTGTCCGTTTTTGGCGAGAACCTTCATCAGTTGTTCGAACATCATGAAGTGACTCTTCCCACAAAACGGGAACAATCCAAGGATCCTGTACCCATGGCACGTGGAGAGTATCGTGCAGAAACAGATCAGCGCCAACAGCTTCATATTCGATTGTCACTTTACACCCTTCCACTTAATTCAGCTGTCTGTATCGAACCTGATCGGCGACCCAGAACTCATCGGAAGGGTCTCCCGCGTCAGACTGATCCACTCGCAACGGTTACAGCCTATGTTCTTAGACTCTCTAATTATCGGGTTGTGATAAAGGGAACTAGGGGATCTACGCGGCTTCGAGCGATTAGGCGAATCGCTGTAAATCACGTTGAAAATGTATATGCTCGCTTTCCCGTCGAACAGACCGGCGTCAGTGGTGGCTCCGAACTACGCTGGCGCACTGACAGTGAGCCTAGGATGTATCTAGACGCAGATAAAGTAGATCTTCGGAAGACCTGCTTTCGTTCAGATAGAAGCCGGCAGCAGGAAAACGAATCGTTGACGGAGGACACGCTTTCCGCTCTGTCTCAATTGATCCTAATTTCACTGCGCGATCACCGATGTCTTTAACGATTCTTTGTTTCTTACTTCGTCTAATTTTGTCCCTGGGGTGCCGAATTCTGGTTTATGGGGATCGTCGATGAAATATTTAGTGCTACGATCCGAGGTTCGTTTTGCTCGGTTTCGACGACCGGGAAGGACTATCGTAGCGCCACGGGATGCCTCCTGATTTCGATCAGCCCGGAAACGTTTGTTGTGATTCTTCACGGTTACATCATGACGCAAAGGACAATTTCGTTTCATTTAAATAGTCTGACGAGCATGAAACGCGATTTCGTAACCGTTGTTTACGTCGGCACGTGTCTCTCCCGGTCGCATGCGCCGACTCAAGCATCGAGATCGATGTATGCGCCATGTTGATCTAGAATTCTTAATTATTTGGTTGGTATCGTCAAGAATCCGATCAGCGCGGACAGCTTCATCTTCAATTGTCACTTTACGTCGGGGGTGTCAAACTCGCGGCCCGAGATGAACATTTTTGATGTCAAGTATCAGGACGTAAACAATAATTTAACTTTATATATGTGTTTATTACAATGTACTAGTCAAAATAAAAATATTTGTTTCTATGAACATTGATTTTTTTTGCGGCCCACCTAAAGTTAAGCATTGTTTATTTATTATTATGGCACAAGTTAGCTTTTGAGTTTGACACCCCCGCTTTACGTCCTTCCACTTAATTCAGCTGTTTATATATAACTCAATCGACTGCCCTAGACTCGTCCAATGGGTCTATCTCGTTGCACTGATCGACTCTGATCGGCGGTATGCTCTCTAATCAACCAATCGTGATAAGATCGTGACAATTAAATCGGAAAAAATTGAATTGTAACAACTTAGACGCGATAATTAGTGTACGCGATTCTCTGTCGGACGGATCGGTGTCAACGTTGGCATCGAGCTTCGTTGTCGCATTCGCATAAACCTGTGCTATGCGCGCATCGTTGTAGTCAAATTCAGTTTTCCAAAGTGCCTATTGCACGATGTCGAATCGATATGACTGGACTCGTTACTTTTGCACGGACGGTATAAATTTTGCTGAGCAACCCCCGATTACGATTCTTTTCTTGGTATCTTACTTCGTCTCGTTTTGTTCCTGGTGTCGCCGATTTCTGGTTTATGGGGTTCCTAATTGTAGTCTGTTATGCATTTTCTATAATTGATACAGTCTACCAATTTTTAACTAGGTTTTGAAATTCGTTTTCATTGCAGTAGATTGGACGAACTGAATTTTACTGGGTTTTTTAGAATGCGAAAGCGCCAGTCTAACGTTTCCAGCGATGAATTTGAACTTTCTGGTTTTGGTTTCATTGATTCAATTACCGCGATGCTCTGTGGAAATTTCTGGGATTGATATTCGTCAATGTGAAATTTCACAATTGATTCATTTGACAATTTTGTTCATGAATACTCGTTCTCATCAATAAATTCTCACGCGATTCAGATAATTCATATTTATTGTATGATAACCTCTACCTCAATATTTATATATTGATAATAGAAGAAAAACTCGTGTTTCTATTTAAAAGTCGAGCATAGCATCCGTATCTTTTAGACCATGCTGAAAATCTTCTTAACGTGTCTGATACCATGTTATAGGCACTATCATATAGGTCAAGGGTTAATGGATTTATGATACTCGCGCCAAGTCTGAGCAAAAAGTGCTTATCTTGAAAGTGATTTAAAAGAATACGTAATTGAAATATAAAATTTCAATTGATTATAATAAAAATAGAAAATATCAGATATTACAATTAAAGTATAATTTCAGTAGATTGCAATGGAAACATAATATTTCAATTGATTGCAATGGAAATATAACATTTCAATTAATTACAATAGAAATATAAAATTTCAATTGATTGCAATGGAAATATAACATTTCAATTAATTACAATAGAAATATAAAATTTCTATTGATTATAATTGAAATATAGAATTTAAATTGATTATTCGTCAATTATAATTGTTCTGTTCCGGTGTCATTAAACGACTTGAATATCGGGAAGATGTTACGATATTTTATACATTTAGTAACCGTAAATTTTTCAATTTTTTTCCATATCATTTAGATAACTTTCATACTGCGGACATTTTTGGATCGATATACGACAAATTTCAACTTCCTGGTTTCGTATTCGTTGGTTAAATAATGTTGACATTCCAGCAATTTTCGCGTTGGTGATCGCAAAGATTCAACTTTCAAAATAACTTTGACATAACATTCTAGTTTCGGTTTCATCAATAAAATTTCACCTGCCATTGTCGCCGATATTCATCGATAACGCGCGAAGTCAAAACCTCCTCACCTCCACAATCACCGCGTCGTAAGGTGGATCTTTCGGCGGGTTCTTCGCAAGTTGCTGAATCCTAGGGTCGCCCAATGTCTCGCAAACCTCGGTCCCAGCGAAAGTAGCAACAGCGTGGCTCGCAGATGTAACTAGCATGTACTTCATGTCACTGAATGTCATGTTGTTCATGAACTGCCTGAATGTCGGCAGAACGATCATATCGTTGTAATTCCGATAGGGTTTCTTCAACGGGAACGTGCTGACCACGTCCACCTGGTGTCCGTTTTTGGCGAGAACCTTCATCAGTTGTTCGAACATCATGAAGTGACTCTTCCCACAGAACGGGAACAATCCAAGGAACCTGTACCCATGGCACGTGGACAGTATCGTGCAGAAACAGATCAGCGCCAACAGCTTCATCTTCGATTGTCACTTTGCACCCTTTCACTTAATTCAGCTGCCTGTATCGAACCTCGTCGGCGACCCAGAACTCATCCAAAGGGACTTCTGCGTCAGACTGATCCACTCGCAACGGTTGCAGCCTATATTCTTATACACTCTAATCATCGGCTTGTGATAAAGGGAACTAGGGGATCTACGCGGCTTCGAGCGATTAAGCGAATCACAGTAAATCACGTTGACAATTTATGTGCTCGCTTTCCCGTCGGACAGATCAGAGTCAGTCGTGGTTCCGAACTACGCTGGTGCACTGGCAGTGAGCCTAGGATGTATCTAGACGCAGATAAAGTAGATCTTCGGAAGACCTGCTTTCGTTCAGATAGAAGCCGGCAGTAGGAAAACGAATCGTTGGCGGAGGACACGCTTTCTGCTCTGTCCTAATTAATCCCAATTTCACTGCGCGATCGCCGATGTCTTAAACGGTTCTTTGTGTCTTGCTTCGTCTAGTTTTGTCCCTGGGGTCCCGAATCCTGGTTTCTGGGGATCGTCGATGAAATATTTAGTGCTACGATCCGAGGTTCGTTTTGCTCGGTTTCAACGACCGGGAAAGACTGTCGTAGCGCGACGTGATGCCCCTGATTTCGATCAACCTGGAAACGTTTGTTGTAGATTCTTCACGGTTACATCATGCCGCAGTTGACAATTTTGATTCGTTTAAATCGTCTGACCAGCATGAAACGCGATTTTGTAAACACTGTTTGCGCTGGCACGTGTCCCTCCCGGTCGCATGCGCCGATTTTGCGTCGAGATCGATGTATATATCGTCGATCTAGAATTTTTAATTAGTTTCAACTTGGTCTTGAAATTCATTTTTGTTCTAATGGGATTGCATTCTAGTAGGATTTCTAGAATACAAGAGAGTTAATCTACTTACTGCTTGCTGGTTTGGGTTTCATTGGTTTACTGGCTTCGATGTTACAGGAATTTCTGGGGTTGACGTACGTAAATTTTGACTTTTCTAGTTTCGGTATCATTAATTAAATCTTTTCGATGTTGCGGAAATTTCTAAGGTCGGTATTCGTCAATTTTATCTTCCTAGTTTTGGTATTATTAACACTTTGACTGCCGCGCCACTCATATAACGGTGACGAAATTATTAAAAATTTAAGTTCTATGCTAATCCATAAAAATTTCGTAATTTTATTAAGATTCGCAAGAGGTAAGAATGTCGACATAATAATCGATGTCATATAAATTTGCTTTGCAAGTTTCACTTAACTGATTAATATACTTTAATTCTATGTAACCTTTTCCATGATCCAAATGCAATCCGCGGTTTTATTTGCGACTTCATTAACGAAAAACACTGGCCAATGAGAGGCGAGCGCGGCTCTAACCGAGAGTACATCGCAGACAAAGGGTTAAATAAATCGAATATCGTAGACATTTCTCTGTCGACGAATATAAATTTGTACTTTCTAGTTTCGGTTACCACGGATCAAACAACTTTGTTATTGATAGAATTTTTGACCTCGACGTTCACATAATATATAATATTATAACGCACGAGCTCGGTAACTTAGTATCCTCACCTCCACAATCACCGCGTCGTAAGGTGGATCTTTCGGCGGGTTCTTCGCAAGTTGCTGAATCCTAGGGTCGCTCAAAGTCTCGCAGACCTCGTTCCCGGCAAGGTTAGCGACACTACTGCTCGCAGACATAGCTGACATGGTGTACATGTCAAGGTATGTTATGTTGTTGATGAACTGTCTGGGTGCCGACACGACGAGCGCATCGTTGTAATTCCGAAAGGGTTTCTTCAACGGAAACGTGCTGACCACGTCCACCTGGTGTCCCTTCTTGGCGAGAACCTTCATCAGTCGTTCGAACATCATGAAGTGACTCTTCCCATTGAGCGGGAACAATCCAAGGATCCTGTACCCATGGCACGCGGACAGTATCGTCAAGAATCCGATCAGCGCGAACAGCTTCATCTTCGATTGTCACTTTACGTCCTTCCACTTAATTCAGCTGTTTATATGTAACACAATCGACTACCTTAGACTCGTCCAACGGGTCTATCTCGTTACACGGATCGATTCGGATCGGCGATAGGCGCTCTAATCAACCGATCGTGATAAGATCGTGTCAATTGAATCGGAAAAATTGAATCGTAACAACTTAGACGCGACAATTAGTGTACGCGATTCCTTGTCGGACGAATTGGTGTCGACATTTGCTTCGAGCTTTGTTGTCGCACTGACATCAGCTTGTGGCATGCGCGCATCGTCGCAGTGAAATTCGGCTTTTCAAATTGTCGGCTGTACGATAAGGAGTTGATAACACTGGATGATACAAATTTTGCTGAGCAACCCCCGATTACGATTCTTTTCTTGGTGTCCTACTTCGTCCCGTTTTGTTCCTGGTGTCGCCGATTTCTGGTTCATGGGGTTCCTAATTGTAGTCTGCTATGCATTTTCTATAACTGATACAGTCTACCAATTTTTAACTAGGTTTTGAAACTCGTTTTCATTGCAGTAGATTGGACGAACTGAATTTTACTGGGTTTTTTAGAATGCGAAAGCGCCAGTCTAACGTTTCCAGCGATGAATTTGAACTTTCTGGTTTTGGTTTCATTGATTCAATTACCGCGATGCTCTGTGGAAATTTCTGGGATTGATATTCGTAAATGTGAAATTTCACAATTGATTCGTTTGACAATTTCGTTCATGACTACTCGTTCTCACTAATAAATTCCCACGCGATTCAGATAATTCATATTTATTGTATGATAACCTCTACCTCAATATTTGGATATTGATAATAGAAGGAAAACTCGTGTTTCTGTTTAAAAGTCGAGAATAACATCCGCATCTTTTCGATCACGCTGAAAATCTTCATAACGGGACTGATACCATGTTATAGACACAATAATATAGGTCAAGTGTTAATAGATTTATGATGCTCGCGCCAAGTCTGAACAAAAAGTGCTTACGTTGAAAGTGATTTAAAATATAATAATAATAATAATAATATACATATATATATATATATATATTGAAATTTTATTATATATATTTATTATATATATATATATATATATAATAAATATATATAATAAAATTTCAATTGATTACAATTAAAATATAAAATTTCAATCGATTACAGATAAAATATAAAATTTCGATTGATTACAGTTAAAATATAAGATTTCAATTGATTACAATTGAACGAAACTATCATATCACACCAAATGAATCGCATTATTATTATATTAACATCACACTATTCACAACCTGCCAAAATGATTCAAAGAAACAACTTAATTTTCATTCAGTTTCTGTTTCTCTCAATCATCCCATTTAATTTCTGCATCCTGCAGTTGGCAAATTCGTTTCATGCGTAAAAAGCCCCAGCAGTCCGGTGTGATTACCAAGAAATTGTGCAACAAACGTATCATCGTGCTCTGCAAGAAACTTGCAAGTAACCAATATGTGTCTTCAAAGTGACACAGCATTATAGCTAGACGCGATATGAACGGAAAGAAAGCGACGATTGTAGCGGGGCTCTCGAAGTTCCATTGGAATTCAGGATCGAACGGAGATAGCGCGAAGTTCCATGAGTTACGTACCGATCTGTAGGCAAAAGGGTATCAATTCAAAAGGTTCACGGGGAGATTAATGACTATTGCCATCTAGCTCAGCGCGAGTCGTTTAGCTCGAGCGTGACAACGCTTGGGGCCGTGTTAGCAACAATAAGATAAGTAGTAAGTTAAATTGTATGTGTAGTAGACCGTACGACGCAAGTGTATACGAGAAATAACGAGTCATTGTCTCTTTTGATTACGTTACACAACGTCCGACAGATTTTCCGTTGACGTTCCGAATAGCGCGGACACTTTTGTCATCGTCGAAATTCTGTTCTCCGCTTCGTCTAGCTATCGTTGCGACAAATTCCTGCGCAATCACAAAGATTCATTACAGTAAAAATTCTCCCGAATTTTCCATCGCCTTTTAAACAAAATTGAACAATTTAGGAGCCTTGGGATTCGAGCCTTGCGTCTTATTTTTATATTCGTCGACAATCGGCGACTATAAAAACGAGCCGCGAGGCTCGAATAATCATATTTTCCGTGATTATCCGTTTTTGTTTACAAGCTGAAGGAAAATTAGGGAGAATTTACTGCGCAGAATTAAGGGAACGGTAAATCGTCGATGATAAAAATCGTTGAACTTTGCACTCTAGTAATGTCGTGTGAAGAAATCGTGGAACGTTCTGCCTGCGCTGGTTTTACCACTCGGGGTCTATTTGGACCCAGTGTACAGATATTATTGATCGACTAGTTTTTGAAAGGTAATCTAACTTTTTAAATGTTATACTTTTTGAGCAAATTCTTCGGAAATTGTTCACCGTTGATCCTCGATTTAAAAAATACTATGAAATGTTAACTGACGATGTTAAATTATAAATGATCCTCAGCATGCTCGGCTATAGCGTTGTGAAAAACGCCCGCCGTTTTAAACAGTCGCGTTCTCCAGTCTCGCGCTCCGAGCACGTAAAATATTTTAGGATTTTATTTCGGTCGTAGTTCAGCGTTCCTTTAATCTTGCGCGCGGTTTATTTATAAATTTCGACAGCCGGCGAAACGAACATAGGTCGAACTATACTTAACTATAGCCGAACGAACATCGTAAGATAAACGTTCCGCGCTGAGCACAGTGTGACAGGCACTTACACCGTGGATAAAAGAGTAAGAGCACTTTAAACGCTAGAGACCTATCGGGCACTAAAAGTGATTAAAAACAACGCTGCTGCGTTTGCGAAATCATTGCGCGATTTTTACAGCAAAATCCTCGTGAGCAAATAATTTCATCCGGTAATCTTAACAGTCGATAAACAGGCGGTAAAATAAAAAATTTGAAATCCGCAATAATCGCGGGTCTGGCAGCGTCGAACAATCACCTTCGATTCGCAGCATTGAAAATACAGGGTTCTCCGGAAAGAATCATCCGATTTCAAAAATTTATATTTTAAAAAATTACACACAGAAAATTATAATTCAAACACGAATATAACGGGAAAATGTGCGAGTTTTACTTTTTACCCCATTGGCACTTGGAGGTTCGGAATTTTCTTAACACGGAACTACCAAACCGTTGGATTGGTCGCTGTTCATCCGATAATATGGTTCTGTTACAGTGAAACACCGAAATCTGGAGAATGTCGACTTTCACCGGTGAATGTCAACATTCACATAGTCGCTTGGTGTATGTCCGAAATATTTGCTAAATACCCTTATTTCTGACTTACACCGGTAAATGTTGACATTCACCATGCACTAATGGCGAATGTTGAACATGTTGGAGATTTATATTTTCTTCTCCTTAATTCAGTCGCTATAAAACGCCACAAGGGTGGCGTAACTTCTTCGCCTCTCTTTCTGAAAGGAATGACCAAGAATTTAAAATACACGGTACATTCTACATGAGAAAAGAAAATAATAGTAATAAAAAAATTACTGCGATTCAAATCTTATTTATTGCAACAACTTAAACTATTATGACACTTTGAATTGCACAAGAGTCCCTTGCTTTTACAACTGCATTTATTTGTGGAACACTTCCTTTTGCAATGACAGGTTTTGGACCTCCACCAGAGCATATCTGTGATTGTCGACACACACCGGAGGGGGTCCGAATGTACAACAATGTAATGAAATATTCGATCTTTCACCGACGTATTTGG